GGGCATGCTAAAAGGTCCTAACACAAAGTAAAAGGAAATTAAGAAAACTATTGCTTTTTTCCTGAAAATTGTAGCGACTGAAAACAATGATTGAACACTGTGAGAGTGCATTTTATTGCCCTGACGAGATAAAACTTAAGGAGAATAGAAAATTCACAAAGTTATATCACGAAAGAATTGGTACCGGACAGGACAAAGGAAACAGCCAGGAAGAAACTGAAACTTTCTTCTACGAGCAAAAAGGTATGTATGCACAACAAAGAAAACAGTCAGTGACATTCGGTTAAGAAGTCAGTTAATGAAAAATTAGAGCGAAGAAGAGAGCAGAGAGAGAGAGAGAGAGATCTAGAGTGGAGAGCGGAGAGCGCTCTCACCAACTAAATTGTGTATATATGTATGTAAAAGTTATTTTTTATTACCGAGAAATGGTCAGGGCAAGAACTTGAACGCATGTCATTTACACTGTTCATTACCTAGTAAAACTCTTAGCATTTTTTTTTAATTAGTACTATCTCACTTTTTAGGAACATTTTCCATATTAAGTGTAAATACCGCATTGGGAATAGCCTCTCATTAAGAAAATAGGGTCCATGTACCCCTAACCAAAAGCAGTGGCACTAATAAAATGAAATAGCAAATCAAAATCAAAGTAGAGCTTTAACTGCAGACTGGATTTACATGCATAATCGTCTACTCGACATTTGAAGTATATAAGCATTTCACCAAACCGAATTAGTTGGATAGACAACAAAATAAAATGAGGAAATCTACATTATAAACACAATATGCATATCACTACATCTGAGTATCAACAGCAAATCCCCTCTTAGTGAAGGGTGACCGAATGAAAGAAAGGATAATTATTAAAGAAAATTCGTTTTAAGCTTGCGGTGTTCAGTAAAGTTTAATAATTATTCACGCTTAAATTTGAATATTACAGTGTGTATTTTTGCGGACGGCTTAATTTAACTTTGCAGTCATTTTACCGGCGAAAGCTTTACCAGTCTTCAACCAAATTAACCTGGGAATTCACCCAAACATTTCGCCAAACCGAATAAATTGAACTAACAAAACGGGGAAATCTCCATACTTTGTCATCACAATATGCAAATATTCACATAGGAACGTCAAAAGTAAATTTAGGAAATCCTGTTCGCTTCGGCTTAAAATGGTTTGTAGACCTTTCTTGGTTTTCAGCAACAGAAGAAGAAATTTTAGCAGTCTAGGAAGCGGCTCTGCCAACCAACACAGAGAAAACTTTAAAACTCGCTCGGCCGTGTTTACAAATACGGTTTTGGTTAAGCTTATTTTTAGACGTGAAATTGTTGACGACGAAAATCGACAGAGAACTGAATTTGCTTACAACTTACAACAACCTCCACAAAGCGACTCACATGTTATCGTTTAGACATGAGCGAAATTAAAACGATGTAATTTATAAAATGTCTCACAGCATGGCTTCAAATAAGGACGATTCTAAAAAGAATTCCAGTTAAAAATAAGCTTTTATCACCGAGGCAACTTGTTAATTTTCATAGCAAACGCCATAACAAAAGTCACTTACCGCAAGTTGGCAATTCACTTCAGCCAGTGTAAATCTTCCAGGCAGAAACTTGCAGCAAAAGTTGTGAAGACTGAACTGAACTAATCTTTTCGATGGATCAACGAATCAACCACTATTTTCCGCTGTGTTTCAATACTGTGTTTTGTAATTTCTCTAAACACTCAGGCACGTTTGATTTGTCTTGTTCATCACCTGACCAAATCATGTAAATTTTCTGCACAGCATCACGTCGCGCGAATTTAAAACTTGGGAAGTTCTGCAGTCCTCTGAGTTACTTTGTCGGGCACGTTTGCCTCTTTTCTATAGCCCTCGTTAGCTTTGCTTCACGGCATTGTTCGGTATTATTTCATCTCTTTTCTCTAGCCCTTGAATCGCTATAATTTACGGCATTGTTCAGTACTGTTTCGCCTCCTTCCCCAGTGCTGGGCCGCTCTCTTTCGCAATCTTCTTCGCTACTCCTTTACCTGTAAATTCTTACTGGCTGTTGTTATCTTAATTTTTTAATTAGATCAACCTCCACCATCGTTTGTCGACATAACAAAGAGAAATGAGTTTCCTTTTCTTTAAAAATCCTGCCAAGAAAAGATGACATTATTCCGCTACAAACCGAGGGTGCATGTCTCTGTCAACCTATTAGCTGGAGTATGGCCGTCATGTTGCGCGACTCCGTCGTCGTCGTCGCCGTCGTGCGTACGCGCCCACGAGCAATACCGTTAGCCATGATAACCATGAGAAAATCCATTCATGGGTTTCCTTTTCTTTCCTATAAGAGTATGAGGCTCCGTTTGGCAACCCTTCGGGCCGCCGGAGCTCCGCTACAAACACAAACACTACAAACATCCAAAAGGGTACCTTTTTCAGCAAAGAGCTATACTATAGGGTATGGATTTCACATATTGGATATCTTAAAACACCCACTGAACAGCTCATTCATCTTAGGACTTAAAGAAGAATTCAAATGAAAGGTCAATCCCTATTGAAGTCTATCCCTACCTAAGGTATAGAAAAACTTTAACACTTTCCCAAAAAGTACATCAAAGGCTTGTATTATTGTCTAAAAAGTGTTACATGATTCGATCAGGAGTCCTTGTTGCTATACAGACGCTCACCTAATTACATTCCAAGTCGGTCGCACTCATTAGTTGCGAGAGAGGCGAAGGACACAACTAAATCGAATAGTTAAGACATACCATGAGGTAGTTCCAAGGAGGCTTTGATCTTTTCTGGCATCAAAAGTGCAAGACACAGCATTTTAACTTTGCTTTCGCAAGTCAATTATCTTTCTAAACTCTTCTCCTGAAACTGTCGTTTGTTTAATTCAAAAGAAATTCCTTCCTTCCAAGACAAAACGGAAAATTACACCCGATCGCCCTCCAGAATTTTGTGGCAACTCGGTAGCGCTAAAATTAGATCTGAGTGAATAAACCAATCAAATGGGAGCATGGGTGAACCGTTGGGATTTGTGATTGGCAGGCTGAACAGCCTCGTTTATATAGGCTCACTCCGTGTTTAAGTCGCCTAAAGTCGCCTTAAGTTACGGCGACTTAAGTTTCAGAGTAGGCCTTGCGTTCATGCTTACACTAAATGCACTTCAATGATTCGCCTTGTGAGCTTATTTGTCGAATACAAAAGGTTTAATGGTCATTAAACGCCGTGTACGTGGAAAGCATGCTACCGAAAACACGCAAACGCATCAGCTCTCGCAGCGTATCAGGTGATTTTATTGCTTCTGTCGAATGAAGATGCATTTCAACACAAATTTTATGAATGCTTCAATTGATGAATAATCAAGTAGGTAAAATCATGATCGTAATCAGGGTGAGAAAATGGGCATTTTGCCATTATCAGTAGATTCACGTAAGCGTCAATTCATTTACTTTTTTGAAGATCGCAGCGAGAGGAGAGAACCAACAGAAGGCCGAATGCAAAATAACTCTGAAAGAACAAGCTGTAGGACTTTGTAACGATCATTTCACAAATTAGAGCTCTGAGTTTGTAAATAGTTAAGGATTAGTTGACGGCAATTAAAAAACATTTGTTCGTTCATTTCCTCGATCTTGTCGACTTACATAACTTTACGCGTTAATGACCCCAGGGAGATTATTTTGCAATAACAAAGAAGCAGTGGAAAACTCTATTGTGTTTGAACAAATAGTCGTTTTGTTCTGTCGATTTTGTTAATAGACCAAACAGAAATCGATTTGTTCACAATCATAGATTCTTATAATTAAAATGGCTGATGAATCCGCGATCGATATAGACTTTGCCCAAGGCACTAAAGCCAATAGTAATCACGCCATTTAAATATCGAGACAAATACAAATTGATGGTCCATACACTGATAAGTTCCATTTCATCCGCATAATTAGTGTTGCCCAGGCAGAAAATTAATTAAGCAATAATAATAATAATAATAATAATAATAATAATGTATATTTTTTCTCTGTTACGAATTTACCCTGCTGAAATGTTGTTCTTTCTATCCTATTCAATAATGGGCCAAACTGGACAGGGGTTCCGTTTCATGATGTCATCCCCTAAAACTAATCCATGCCATCAATTTATTTTTAACCTCTCACCCCGATGATGTCATCTTCCGAAAGGGGAAATATCCTTACCCTACAGTAGAAACATGATATCATCAATGCCCTAAGAACCTTACGCAAACACCCCTCACCCCAATGATGTGATCTTCCGCAAGCGGAATCCGCTAGGGGATTATGACGTCATAAACGCCCCTCAGCACCCCAAACGACCTTACGCATGCTTCTCGGCGCAGAAGCCTCACTCTATAACTACTAACACAAGGTTCAACCGTGGAGAAGATTCCTGTGTAGCTCAAAGAACAAATAAGCATTCAAAGTGTTTGTAACCAGCGAGTGAGAGAAAGAAAAGTACACAAATAAGCCATTAGGAAAGACTCTGGTTGTCACGTATTGCAAAGCACGTTACCAGTCATCAGTTCGTATAGTGTGATCGTCCGGGTGACTTGACTCTGAAGATGACTTCCGCTCAGGTTGTCGAAACGTCAGTCACCAACAACAGTTCTTTTCAGAACTACCCTCACCCGGACGATCACACTATACAAACTACTGACACTCCTGGATTCAAACCATTTACTATGTTACCAGTTATCGTCTGGAATAATGCAGCCTATCAATAAGCTTGAATCAACCCGAGGGGAGGCTGGTACCCGAGGCCTCTTACATGCAGCTCATGCAGCCAGATCGAAGTTTGCTTCGGTCGTCACAGTACCAGAAAACACTGATGTGTTGATACTTCTTTTGGCCTTCAATAGCTTTTTATTCCTTCTTCAGTATTATTTAAATGTGTTTCACACACCAGAGTCAAGTACACGGATATCTCAGGAGTTACTGTAGTTAGCAGCATTGGAGCAAGTGTATGCATATCACTGCCTGGCTTTCATGCATGCACTGCGTGCTACACTGTTAGTGCTTTTGCCGGACGGAGAAAGGTAGCAGGGTATCGAATTGTAAAGCGAAATGCTGAATTTCAAGAAATTCTCCAGCAACAGGGTATGGACTGGAATCTTTCCGATCACCTGTACCATAGTCTTCAGAAATTTACATGTGCCATGTACTGCAGAAACTCTGGGAAAATTGACATCAACGAGCTGCGATACCGACTGTTCTGTTTGAAGAGGGGAGACGCTCAATCCAACCAGCTGCCACCCTGCAACCCTGCAAGTTAATTACCAGGCTGCTGTCTGGAGACGAAGTTTACAAAGGTGCCCAGACATCCCATCGCCAGTGGGATTTGGCTGATGTAATGAAGATAACAAACTGGTCGTAGACTGGATGGGCGGTCACCCGGCTTCGCAAGTAGTTCTAGAACTACTATCTTGCCAGTGCAGTAGGTCCTGCAAACTTTCATAGAGCTCCTCTATTGTCAATGGCCGGAAATGTACTGAGCTAAAGATTGTACAAACAGGCTTGATGAAGACGACGATGTTTTATCCGTTGACGACAGTGACGATGAAGATGGCGAAAGGTAAACGTCTCATAAAAATGCCGCGCTACAAGACTTGGAAACATGGGTAAACATGGAGAAGTTAGAGTCAAACCAGGAGCCAAGATTGGGCACTTCAGACACGGGCTTAATGTCTGTTGTGCCAACACGGACTGTACAAGGATTAATTTTCAACAGTTGTTGTCTAGATCCGATAATAAGAAATTCAGTCTTATCATCATTAATTTTTAGTTTGTCCTGGTACATCCATTTTGTTAAGTCACTAATGCATCTTTCCATGACGCACACCGCCTCTGCCTGATCCGTCGGACTGTTGGGATTACAAGCCAAGTAGAGTTGAGTGTCATCAGCGAAGCAATGAACGTTAGGTAGGTGCGCGTGTATTATCTCGAAGAGATTTGAGGCGTAAACCACAAAAAGAAGCGGACCTAGATATCTTCCCTGTGGAACACCGAAGCGCAAATCAAAGCTATCTGATTTAATCCCATCGAACAAAATACGTTGGCTACGCCCTAACAAGTACGACGAAAACCACTCTAGAGTCTCTCCGTGTATGCCGAAGCTTGATCCATGATCCACTGTGTCGGATGCGGCACTTAAATCTAAGGGGACAAGTAGAGTAACACGCTGCGAGTTCATATTTAAAAGAATATCATAAGCGAATTTGACTAACGCTGTCTCCGTACTATGGTGTCGACGCTATGCAGATTGCGACAGCGGATAAAGACCTGACCGGACGATGTGGTCTTATGACTGATTAAATACAGCACGCTCTGTAAGCTTAGGGATGTAGGCCAAATTGCTCACGGGACGCAAGTTCTTAAACACTGAATCAAGACCCAATTTCTTCAGCAGAGGTATAACCACAGCCTCTTTCGAGCTTACAGGAAAAATTCCTGAATCCAACGAGATGTCAATTATTTCCGTAACCACTGGAATAAGAGGCTCAACACAGGACTTTAGTAGAGGTGAGGGGATAGGATGGAGGCAGCAAGATGTAGATTAGAGTTCGCAATAAGCATGCACACATCGTCTTCCGTCAGTGGCGCAAATGTCTCAATAAATAATGGAGTTGGTGAATCGCTATTGGTATCACTATCATCCGGGACAGTACATTGATCAAACTCATCTCGTAGTCGAGAAACGTTTTACACAGAGTACTTCCCTAAGTCATTTGCAAGCGCTGATTTCAGTATCCGAGTAGTCTGAAAAGCACAGTGTATTCTCTTCCACTAAAAGGTCTTTCACAGCTCGAAATACCTTACCTTGACGATCAGCATTTTGATCGATGAATTCAGCGAGAACTGATTTAGCTTCTTTTAGCAAATGTGTGACATAAGTTTTGCGTTCTGTTTAATATTGTAATGCGCTTTTGATCATTGAAATATAAATAAATTATTACTATGATTATTATTATTATTATAATTATAACCATAGGAAAAATATGAAACAACTTTCCTTATACACGCTCTTTTCGGTTACGTTCGTGCGGTTTAGTTCCGAACAATGCACTAATATTAATGTATCAAGTAACTGATTGTGGTTGTCATGGAAACCTTATATGCTTTAGGTAAAATAAATTAGCTACTATTTTTGTCCAAAAATTAAACATGAGCCTTTGTTTACATTTAAGTGATGATGTTTGATTGATGCGAAAAGGACAAGTCTCCAATGTGCTTGGTACTAGGATGACTTCAGATTGGGTGATACAGAACAAAGAAGACTCATCAAGGGAGCTAATTGAAACTCATGACCTGAATAATTAACCCAAGCCAGTGCTAGAGTGATCTACAAGATTGAACTTTTCTGACAACGTATATTGTGGTTCATATTTTTTTTAAATTAGGAAGTGGAAAACTTTATTTTCAGTGACTTTTATTTCAGTTGTGGACTCATTGCCCATTTCCGTTTCCACGGCAACAAGAAAACTTAAAAAGATTTTCATTTTTTTACAATTGAACTTAATGTCCTATTCTGCTTGGCCTAAACTGTATAAAATGTTGTTTAAAAAGAATTTTACCATGGATATCACTCAGAATCTGAAGCTGTTAACCGGATCCAAGGCCATTAGGCAGTTTAAATGACGTCATTTCATCATATATACTCGAACATGCATGGCGAATACTCAGGAGTAATCAGGAATACTCGAACATGCATGGCGGCCACGGCTGTTTGAGCTCCGTCCTTCTCATCCTATTCTGGACTCGCGCTTTATCTGGGAGCAAAACAAATCAGTGTTTCCCGCAGCACTACGGTGTTTTTACATCTACACCTGAACGGACGCACACTGCAGGTCTCTCGACAGCGAAATTTCTACCCCTCTTGGATTCCACGTGGAATGATCTACGACGCCATGTTGTTATTGGCCTACATCGTAAGCGAAAGTTCCTACCCTCCAGAGTTAGTTATTATCCTAACGCAGTTAGCTGCTTCAATCAAACACGGTTACTTCTTAGTGGCGATGCCCAGCTGAATCCTGGCCCTGCTATTTCAATCTCAAGTAACAGTTCTACTTCACTAAATGCAAAGTTGAATTGTGTACTCCTGAATAGCCGCTCTCTCTGCAATAAGTTACATGAATTTCAAGGGCTAGTTTATGGACACAATTTGGATGTGGTCGCTGTTACTGAAACATGGCTTCATGATGGTTACCTAGACAATGAAATCTTATCTGCTGATTTTTATACAATCTTCAGAAAGGATAGGGAAAGCAGCAAAAGAGGTGGTGGTGTTTTACTCGCCGTGAAAGCCGACATCTTGGCCTACAGAAGACCAGACCTCGAGCCGCTGAACTCAGAAATTTTAGTCGGTGATCTGGTATCTCCTAACAGCTTCAAAATAACTTTTTGTCTTTGCTATCGGCCACCGAACTGCTCCTTGTTTATCGATT